ATCTTCAGGGGGGTCTCCCCAGAGCGGAGCAGAGGGACAGAATCCCCTCCCTCGCCCCCCTGGCCACGCTGCTCTGGATCCAGCCCGGGATCCGGTTGGCGTTGAATGTCAGACCCGGAGTTCCGATGTGGCTGAGCAGCCTGGAGAGGGAGGAGGAGGAGGTCCGGGGGGGCTGAGGGAGGGGGTGGCAGGCCGTGCCGATGTGCCGTGTTATGGGCGGCGTAGCAGCGCCTCCGGCCATCTCAGAGCATCCCGCTCTTCGTTCCAGCGCAATGGGAACGGTGGTGCTGGACGGCCAGATCTATGTATGCGGCGGATACGATGGAAACTCATCCCTCAACTCCGTGGAGTCTTATTCTCCCGAAACAAACAAGTAAGAGCTTCATGTCCTAAAGCTTTTCTATCCGTTTGCTGGTTGGAGAATGCTGTGGCACCGCTGGGCATCCGGGCTGTAACAGGGACAGAGTGAACGATGCGGAAAAACCTTTATATCTCAGCAGTGGAGCAGAATCCCGGGATGCCAACGAGCAAAAACCATGGCTTAAGTCAAATAAGCACTGAAAGGGGCGTTCCTGGAACCCGGTCCCCGGGAATCCGATGGGGTTGAAATAATCCGTGGGCTGCGTGTGCCGCAGGAGGCGTCGCTAACCTCTCTCCTATCCCGGCAAGGTGGACGGTGGTGACTCCCATGAGCTCCAACCGCAGCGCCGCCGGAGTCACCGTCTTCGAGGGCCGGATCTACGTGTCGGGAGGGCACGACGGCCTGCAGATCTTCAACAGCGTAAGTCTGCTGGGGCGGGGGGTGCGGTGCCAAAATTCACCTCCTGAGGGCAGCCGAAAGGTCAGGCGGGGGCTGGGAAGCTCCGGGCCCTTTCCCTGTGTCCCCATTTGCGCCCCCAAAATGCCAAAATGCGCCGCCCAACCCTGTCGTCTCCCGGGCCCTGCTCCTTGCTCAGGAAGGAATGAGTTAGGTATCCACTGGGAACGAGTGGAAGTGCTGCTCTCGTTCCCCAAGGACCGAGCCGGTGCCTTGGGTCCTCTCCCCGCTTCAGCTTAAATTGCTTTCCCATTGCATCCCTGTGCCTTTGAGCTCGGAAATATTCCGGGCATCGGGCTCTTGGCTCGGCGCAGAGCGGAGCTTCGCAGCGGGGGGACTCGGTGGTGCGAGGGCACCTTGCCCGCTCCCGCCTGCGCTGCGGTTTTCTGCCTCTTCCCTAACAAAAAGCCTGGAAATCCTCATTCGGCCGCCCCAGAGCGAGAACACGGGGAGAGACAAAGCGGAAGCGGATCCGTCCCCATCGCTCTGCCCTTAGAAACGGGCAATAAGGGGCTTGTTGGGAGCGGCAGTAACCATTTCTGACTGGCTCGGCAGAGCAGGACCTGGCTGTTGGCTGCAGCCTGAAGGATCCCAGAGCCAGGAACTCCAATCCCCTCATCCAGGCGTGGCAAATCGGGAGCAGTGCCGGAGCCCCTGCGGAAGGGGTCCATGTAATGGTCTCCCTGGAAGCGCAGAGGATGTCAGATAGCGGGTGGGTGGGTTTTTCCCTCCTTGAGGTGCCAGAAAACCCTTCTGCAGGTACACAGGGAGGAGATGTCGGCCTTTTCCGCAAGCGGAAGAGGTTCCTGCGTGGAAGGAAGGGAATAAAACCTACCCTGTGCCACGGGCTGTAGGTTTGAACTGGGTCAGGGTGGTGGTCCCGACCTGAGAAACTGGGAAGTTGGGGCTGTTACGGCTACAAGAGAGCGGGGGGGTCTCGTTTGGGGTCAGAGAATGGGGAATCACGAGGGGTGGGCAGCTCTGGGATCTGACAGAGCTCTGGCTGGTCCTGCCGTGGGGCACACGTGAGGAAAACTTCATACTGTGAAATATTATGGGGTTAATTGTTAAGGTAACGGGTTTAAACTGAAAGCAGGTAGACTGAGAGGGGACATCCAGCCGTGTGCGCTGGCAGCCCAGAAAGCCAACCCCATCCTGGGCTGGATCCAG